GTACGATTTCATCACGTCTATGTACCTCTTCTACCGGGGCTTCATGGGCTTCTAAACGTCTCCTGGCGGCATGGTGAATGAACGACTTCGGATCTGATACCAACGGCGTAGTAGAAGATTATAGAAAAAATGAACAACCTCACAAGTATGAGAAAATTCACGAGAAATTTTATTCAATTCGATAAACTGCGGTTTCAAATGGCTTACAATGCTTTAAATAGTAAAACCCTAACAAAATTTGAAAAATAAATAATAATAAAAAAATGATATTTTTCCATAAATGAAAAAATTCGAGATAACAACTTAAATTGAAACTCATAAGATTCAGGATTGTGTTCCAACCATAGTTATAAAAATCGGCCCGGTCAGGACGGTCGGCCCTAAAAATCAGCGACCTGGACCCTTGACCGGGCCGGACGGATTAATTTAATCGAAATGCACTTGACTCGATCAAAATAGGGTTTTAACCGAGTTAACCGACCATTTACTCGGCCGATTAACCGGTTTGATTATGTTTTAAAATTCTCTTACAAAATTTTAGTATTCAAGTGAATTGAATCTTAGACCTCTAAGGAAAATAATGATTTGCTGACCACTTGAGATAGAGTGTTTTAATATTACTTATATGGAAATAACTTATATCTATTTAATGAATAATTAATAAGTTTTATAAAAATATTTTTTTAAAAAAAATTCATTCAACCTTATACTTTATTTTATAGATTTAAATAATTAGTTAAAAATAAATTAAAATTTTTTATTTTGCCTCTGAAACAAAATTTATACTTTATATTTGTTTGTAAGTTTTTATGTAATGACCCACCGGTTGAACCACTGGGTCACCGATTGAACCACTAACCCATTGACTCGTTGCATTGTCCGGGCATGTGTCTGGGTCAAGTCGACGACTATGCTTCCAACAAACGGAATACGAATTCGAATTTTATTGAATGAGATATTGTCAAAATAAAAATTATCATAAACGGTAAAAACGCTTAATCGAGGGTTTAAACGACGGAATTTGCCCAAAATTTGATGTCCGTCAGGGTCGAAGACCCTAAATTGAGATCATTGGTTTGTTTCCAATCGAATTAGACTAGCAATTCGCTAAAAACGAACAAACCCCGAAGTTATCATGAAGTTATTATTTTGCCTTCCGATCCCACTTTATCATAAACTCTAGCTCCTTATACACTTCATCATGCCCGAAGATTTTTTACTTTATTTATTTAATTTCGAGGTTAATTGNCACTGGGTCACCGATTGAACCACTAGCCCATTGACTCGTTGCATTGTTCGGGTATGTGTCTGGGTCAAGTCGACGACTATGCTTCCAACAAACGGAATACGAATTCGAATTTTATTGAATGAGATATTGCCAAAATAAAAATTATTATAAACGGTAAAAACGCTTAATCGAGGGTCTAAACGACGGAATTTGCCCAAAATTTGATGTACGTCAGGGGTCAAAGACCCTAAATTGAGATCATTGGTTTGTTTCCAATCGAATTAGACTAGCAATTCGCTAAAAACGAACAAACCTCGAAGTTATCATGAAGTTATTATTTTGCCTTCCGATCCCACTTTATCATAAACTCTAGCTCCTTATGCACTTCATCATGCCCGAAGATTTTTTACTTCATTTATTTAATTTCGAGGTTAATTGNNNNATTTATTTAATTTCGAGGTTAATTGGTTGATGAGAAAGACACCTTCATCTTAGTACCCAATTTGTATTAATTATTACTCTACTATTTCAACACGTTAACCCATGTTTAAACGCCTATTTGATAGCTTTTTGCTCTTGCAGGAGAGCTTGTTAAAGAAGTTATCTTAGGCCAAATTCATCTAAAACTCCTCGAGCAAGAAAAATACTTCAATTTTTTTTTTCAGATATATTCAAAAACAACATTTAATCTTCAAAAAAAATTTTGACTTTTCAAAAACCATTCTAAACAGACAGTAGGAAAATTCGATGTAGTTACTAGTAACCTCTAAGGTGCAATTTTTATATTCTAATTCAAGAAATGTACAATACTACAATATTAGCTCTATAAATTAATAACATTTGTCATATAATAAATTATTTCGATCTCAATTTCATTAATAGAATAAATTAGCCATCTATATATAAACTTATAATCTTTATTACATAATAAAATTTTTCCGTCCCAAACACATTAATTTATAGAAGGCATACTATAATAAAAGAGCATTGGATAATATTAGTCAATGATCATACAATGGTTGCCATTAAATGTTTAATTCAACTTCCAATTTCTTATAAATCGCGAATGAAAGATATGTTGCCTCTGTCTTATGAGCTCATGAATCGGAATATAATACCACACAAAATAAATGTCACGAAGACTGATAATATTACAACACACGACTTCATGCAAAACTTCATGAAACTGTGAAGCTGGTACTCGGGCCGCAATGATTTTGCAATGTCGATAACAAACCGGTATTTAACATCAGATTTCACAAGGCGAACCATTGCCTTGTTGATATAATCAATGGGGATGATCTCCACATCTGGTAATATGTTGTGCTTTGCTGCAAAATCGATCATTTCTTGCGTTTCTTTCATTCCTCCTACTCCACTGCCGGCTATTGTCTTTCTACCTGTATTCCATTGTGGATGTTTAGCAATATTGTCAAGCCCCAACCAGACCGGCAGTTTAGACCAGAGAAACTGGGAACCGTTCCCCAGGTCTGGTTCAATTCTTGGATAAAAAACAGGAAACTGAGAAACCATCACCCCCTAAATTTTGCTTTCACTTGCCTTTTTCTGGTCGATGCCAGGGCCCGTTTTTTCAAACATTGATGTTGAGTCATTAGTTTTAGCAAAATTAACCCCCTTAACTAATAAGAAAATGGTTTTTTAAAACTTATTTCTTGTTAGTTATTTGTGAACTTATTAAGCTTATACAGACATGTTCAAGAGTCCAAAGGACCAAGAGAATAAGAAACAGTAATTGAATTGTTTACCTGTAAGCAATGGAAACACAGGCAACTCGAGTGGCTGTGCCGGTGCGCCAACCAGTACCATCTTTCCATGAGGCTTCAACAAATTAATTAAGGGTGAAAGGGGGTGAGTAGCAGATACAGTATCGATGATTCCGTCCAACGTCCCAGCTGCAGCCTGAACAGAAACGATTGTAGGGATTAATGTGGCTTCATGTCTCAGGAGAAGATTTAAAAAAAAAGAAGCAAAATCCCTATTCCTCTCACCTTCATCTCCTCCGGATCACGGCTAACCAAAAAAGAGTCTGCGCCAAGTTTTTCAATAGCTTCCTTCTTCTTATTAATAGATGTACTGATAACTGTAACATTAGTACCAAAAGCCTTGGCAAACTTCACAGCTACATGGCCAAGCCCGCCAAGCCCAACAACACCAATATTCATTCCCGGTTTGTCAAGTCCGAAGTACCTCAAGGGACTGTAAGTCGTAATTCCAGCACATAAGAGAGGAGAACCAACGTCGAGGGGGAAGTTCTCGGGCCAAAGAACAATGAAATGCTCGTCGACAACCATTAAATTAGAATAACCTCCTTGTGTTAGGGTACCATCAGTGTAAACCGAGCCATAGGTCCATATAACTTTTGGACAGTAGTTTTCAAGATCATTGGTGCACTGATCACACTGGCGACACGATCCAACTAAACATCCTACTCCCACTTTGTCCCCAACCTTGACTTTCTCCACCTTGCTACCAACCTCAGTTACTTCACCTACAATCTCGTGCCTGCAAAAAACAGCAGAGTTCAGTATATGTGAATCGGGACGTTTGCAATTTTTTACGAACTTTAAGGTGATTCAAACAGACTAACTGTGCGTGAGAGATGTTACCCAGGAATAATTGGATACTGAGTGAAGCCCCAATCATTCTTGACCACATGAAGATCCGTATGGCAGATCCCGCAATACAACACTTTCAACTGCACATCATGCTCTCCGGTCGCCCTGAACACCAAATACAGTGTAAATCAATTGAAAACTAGCCAAATTCAATGCACAAACATTCACAGAAAAAAAAAACAGTAAAAAGTTGATTCTCCAAACTATGGGTAATGAAATCAAAAGAAAACCAGAAATCGAGATGTATACCTTCTGGAGAATTTGATAGGAGCTAAGACCCCAGATGAGTTTCTTGAACCCCATCCATAAACCTTGACAGGGTGCTCAGTTTCTGGAGATTTGGCCATTTCCTTGTTCTTTTGCTTTTCACGTTATGGTTTCTTCAAAACCTCTGTGATCTCCCTTTATACGTCGCAGGACTAGAATATTTAGACTCTTAAGTAATCTAATACGTACAACATGCCCACACTACAGATTCTTGACCCGTGTCTTTCTCGAATATTCGTAACCTTAACATTGTAGGGAATTTAGGGATAGTGGAATTGCTAATCTTTGGGCCTTTTTCGCTTAAGAGTAATGATTCTTGTATAGAGAGAGTTTCACATAATTCATACATGAAGAATTTGACGCAATTTCATTGGTAGTTGAGAAAAACAAAAAACGGACGAATCAAGTGCTATCAGGGCATCGTCGGAATTCTTCACGAAACGGACGAATCAGGTGTTACCAGGGTATCACCGGAATTCTTCACGAAGAATTCCCTTGTACATGATATTTTCCTATGTCGTAAGGGAACTTCGTGAAATTTTCTATTTAATTTTTTTTTATACGCACTAAAAATGATCTATATTTTGGAAGTTCATTTTGTATTTATTGTTTTCTCGTCTGTTATTTTATATATTTTTTATATATCAATAATCAATTAACTCAAACTCTTTGAATAATCTAAAACGTAAAATACTAAAATTTGTTAAATGAAATCATTATAAAATAAGAATATGCCTTCATATTGGTTTAGCACAATATTTTATAATGAAATCAACTTCTCCCTAAGAAATCTCTTACAAAAAATTAAGAAAGATGGATACAGAGTCCTTCATATTGGTTTAGCACAAACCGCAACAAAACCTTTAGCAAAAGAAATTATAAACATCAGAATATGCCTTGCTCTAAGGGATTGCACGATATTGGATGTTGCGTGTTTTCTAATGAAAAGTGTACGATATTGTGAATAAATAATAAAGTGATTAAATAGTACAGTTGTTCTCAAGAGAACTACTATCTAATTGTTGATTCAATTATTCTTAACTTCAATTCGATTGAGAACCATTAAATATGTTTCTTTTATTTTTGTGTTTTTTTATTGTAAATATATGAAAACAATTAACACGTGCGTACATGGATCTTTTATATGATGATTTGAGTGATAATATTCAAGAGCTCACCATAGCTCTTCCCTTAATCTCAATTGCTCATTTTGATAACAATAAATTGAGTATACATAGTCAAATTCTTTTAAACTAATTGATTTACCTCTCTCGATTTCAAACAAATCCTATCCAATTAGGTCAACTCATTATATCTCTGTTTGAATCCCCATAAGCTTAATCAAGAGTATGCAATCACTAAGTAATTTAATTAATGATCGCAATAACAATAACTGCGTATATCTACCGTTTTATCCAGATTGCATGTTTTTACTACATGGTATAGACAAATAACTTATCTCTCGATATAATTATCGCTTGCAAATCAATGAATTAGTGAGAAGTTAATCAAAACATTAAGAATAGGAATAAAAACAATTTACAAGCATAAATTGAAAATGGAAAACTTTATAATTAAAATTAAGATTCAAGCTAGGCTACAATAGCTCGTTCCAACTAATTGTTTAATTACAAATCATGGAAAAAGAAAAGTACAAAAAAAGAATTAGAGTAAATTATCGGGCTTTAAAGAAAAATGGAAAAAAGTTGAAGATATTGCATAAAAATATGTGTTCTTGTAAAAATATTAAAACCCTAGTTTTTTCATCCCCCCCTCTCCTTTTAGGCTCTCTTTTCTTGTAATTAATATGAGTTTTGTATCTCAAAGGACTCTCTTTTTGTGTCCTAAACATCTATTTATTAGGGGAGGAAGAATGTTGTTCTTGTAAAAGGAGTCAAAACAAATCAAGAAAACTCAAAAATCATAAAAAGGCACAAAATTAGCAAAGCGGGCCGACAGATCGGACCTTCGTCCAGACTCCGGTCTATAGCGATTTGCAAACCGCAATGAACCGAGGCAAACAATTAGCCATGCTAGACCGCGGCCAATCACAAACTTTTCAGAAAGTTGCAATTTGATCCCCAATTTTGATCTTTTTATCCTAACTTCAATTTTGATGTTGAAACTTTCAAAATCTTTTAGATCGATTTCCAAAACTTCATAATCATTCGAAATTGGTCTATCTCAAGTTCCAAAAGAGTATAATTTAGTCTCCAGACTTTTCATAAATTGAATTTTACCCCTCAAAACTTGCAATTGTTTTTATGGATCTCCTTTCACTTCTAATCATTTTCATGCCATCCCGTTAATTTTTAATTACTTCGATTCAACTTCAAATTAGCTCAAAATCGCCCATTTTCACTCTAATTGTATTGTTCAAGTTTTTTTTCTAGAATTAACAAAGTTACAAATTGTAAGTGTTATGTTCTAAGTCCAATCAACTTTGAACAT